AAAAAAAAAAAAAAAAAAAAAAAAAAAAAAAAAAACACACCCATTGACCAAAACAAGTAGCATTTCCGGACGAGCACATAGGTATTCCACAGTTGGCGAACGGGTTCCAATCTGCCTCCTTAGAAGATTATTAAAAATCTGAGCCACATCTTTTTTCGACTCAAAGTCAAGTTTCGACAAATTCTTTATCAGCATCGGTAGCACATTCGCGTTATACGTTTCCTGTGCCAGCTGAGCAACCTAAAGTGATAAGTTTCAATTGAAGATTTTAAAAACAATGAAACGTGTCTATCAAGTACACGAGAACCAAACACATCCTCTTATAAGTAAGAAATGAAATACAGCAGATAAAAAATGGATAAAAAAGAGTCAAAATTGACCAGGAACAAATTACGACTGCAATTTCTTGGCCAAAAACAGACGGTACAAAGTTTCAAAATAAAATTATCAAATCCAACAAGTAGCACTAAACGCTTCCACTGACTCAGAAAAATTATGTCATTTTGATAGAACAAATGCAGTCCTCTAAGCCAGAATTTGAAACACCACTTAGTAAATAGGAGCAATTTATGAGATGCTGAAGTCATAAAAACCGAAAAAATAAGGAAAAAAAGTTCTGCTCACCATCTTAAACATGTTTCTAAGCTATAAAAACAACAACAGCAACAACGCGAAATGAAAGCAAAAATTCTTTCCCTCCTCTGTTCCTTCAGTTTTTGTATAAAATAACTTAAACATTCATTTTTTATTTAAAGAATCCCTTAACAGAATCGAAATACAGCAGTTAATACTTTACTACCAAACATCCCAAATGTCATAACTCGTAAGAGAAGGAAACAAATCAACAGAACGACTCCACTAACCTGTTCTGGATGTGGTTCTTGTCCATCCAATCCATAGATGATACCCTTATACGCTTGTAGCCATCTGCTAACTTCTTCTGCAGCCTTTTCACTTTTCTTCTCACCTTTTTCAATCAATGATAAAGATTCCTTTAAATTTTTGACAATCTCCGGTGGTGATTTGTGCGATTTGCCAATAAACGGCAAAGGCATTTCAAACCACTCTCTGAAAATTCAAATCATTATATAATCACACCTCTAAACAGTTACGGAACAAAAACAAAGAAAAAAAAACAATGGAGAAATCAAGAAAAAAAATTTTTTTACACAAAGCCGCGCGAGAAAACCAACGTAAGTGAT